AAGTGTCCTGACGTGACAGCTTTGCTTCTCGTTGTAAATGCACAACATTGACTTCTTGTAATAATTGGGTTTCCCATACATCTTGCCTAGAGAAGGAATACATTAGCCAAAGAATGTGAGTTCCCTTCTCTGATGTTATTTTCAAATTCATGACCTCTCTTTCTGGTTTTTACAGTCTCTGAGTTTAGTGCCTGCATATCTGTATCTGAACAATGTATTAATCATTGATGTGCTAACAAATCAGGATTCTGAGATGCAAGACCAGCCCTGAAGCCTGAGATTCACCACAGTCATGTCATCCTTTGGGACCTGCCTGGGTAGACACCAGCCTTCCCCAGTCTTCCTTCTGCTCTGCATGCTTCTTTGATCATCCCTGTTCCTCCAGGGCGGGAGTGTGTCTGATGCCTCTTTGATATCTGAGTCATCCTCTCTCACCATGTCTGCTACAAAGCATTTTGGTTTTTAACACATTTTTCTTTGACTTCTTTACCCTCATTCAATCATATCTAAATAGCTATCTCAACATCTATTTGGGGATTAAGTCAGGTGCAACAGCATTATGATAGTGGCATTTTTAAAACAAAATATTAGTAAGTTTTAAAATTCCTCGGCTGTTTTAAAAACTGTCAACCTTTTTTACATAGCCATACCACGTTAACTTCTTTTTCTGCTTTGGCCTGTGATCACTAGTGGTCCTAAAATAAGTTAATCAACTGAGGACCTCCCTCCAATCTATGCTTCTCGCTGAAGAACAAGAAACGAAAACACTGTGAACTCCTTCCCAGATGAAGACAATTTCTTTCATCTCCAGTGGTTTCTCCATCAATCACTTAACTAGATTCTTTCATCTATACCAGAGGATGGCAAACTTTTCCTTCAAAGGTCCCCATGAGTAAAAAGTTGAAACTCTGTGGGCCAGTCTGCATTGGTTGCAGCTATTCAACCCTGTCACTATAGCATGAAAGTAGCCATAGACAACATATAACCAAATGAGTGTGGCTCTGTTGATATTTGAATTGCATACAAATTGCAGGGATCAGGAAATATTAATCTTCTTTGGTTGTATTTCCAACATTCCGAAATGTAAAGAGCATTCTTAGCTCAGGAGGCACACTTCCAGATCTGACCCACAGGACACGGTTTGCCGACCTGCTCCACAGTCATCCATAGACAACGGCAATGTTTCACAATACGTGTGTGAATATGTGGGCCCTTCATAATACTCCCTTATCAACCTTGATAATTATGACTTATTAATAGTTCTTAAATTCACTGGTGGCAAACAAAATCTTATGATGAAAAATATTTTCACCAAAATTAAACAATGGTCAGCACAGTAAAAAAAAAAAAAAAAAAAGATATTTTAAATCTCAAATAGTGGCTACTACTATGTTATTTGTTTCTAGTTACCATCCCTGCTCAGAGAAAAAAATGTAAAATCTATGAGATAGTGGTCAATTCATTTTGCTTTAACAATGTTTCTGCTGAGAATTTTTCCAATGTCTTTTTATCCATTCAATTTTTCAATGCCTTTCTGATTTTAACATTAATATTTGTACATTCTCATCTCCTCAACCCCACCATAGTCCAAGAACTCGGATGCCTGATACATAAGAAGCTTTGGATTTTCTTTCCTCAACCCTTTCTCCCACATGGGAGTTTATCTAGTATCATCCGGTCTACAATAACTTTCTAGGCGCGCCTAACGAACATTTCTAAGGCTTTATTTTCCTTATTTTATTTGTTTCAACTTTCATTGCATAGTTCTATACTCCTGCAGACTTTCTACTGTAAATCCCATTTTCATTTCCAACCCCTGTGCCCTCTTTTTCTAGCTGAACCCCAACAATGGTTGCTTGCATGGTGATGTATCCAAACTATATTTCCAGCTATGCAAAAGGTCCCAGCATCATGTCCCAAATAGTACAGAGGTTCAATGTACCATTCCCTCTTTTTTGTGTGTATGCCTGAAAAGGTACATAGTCAAAAGTTTGAGAGGAATAGAGCATGTATTCCTGTACGCTAGATTCAGCCACAAGAGGAAGAAATTAGTGTATTTATATGCCATTCCCGTGCATCTTTGTTCACATTGCTCCCTCTGCCTGGCACACCCTCCCCCAATTCTCTGCCTGATAAGATTCCCCTCAACTTCCAAGGTCCAGGCAGGAACCCATGGGAAGCCTCCCAGTAGAGCTGCCAAATCTCTCCTCTGCATTCCCAAAGCACTTCATACATCTCTATTAAAGCACTTATTGCAATGCGGTTAGTTGTTTATGTAGCTGTCCTACCCCAACCCACACCCCGACATGCAAGTGAATGAGCTGCTTTTTTTTTTAAATAATCCTCTCCCAAGGATATTTTTCCATTTATCTTCAGATAGAGTGGGGGGGGGGGGGGGCGCGAGAAACATCGATGAGATTGATTGGTTGCCTCCCACAAGACCCCAACCAGGGCTGGGAACTGAACCACCACAACGGAGGTACATGCCCTTGATTGGAATCAAACTCATGATTCTTTGGTCCACAGGCCAATGCTCTAACCCCTGAGCCAAACTGGCCAGGGCTCTTCTTTCTTTCTCTCTCTCTCTCTCTCTCTCTCTCTCTCTCTCTCTCTCTCCCCTCCCTCCCTCCCTCCCTCCTTTCTTTCTTTCTTTCTTTCTCTCTTTCTTTCTTTCTTTCTCTCTTTCTCTCTTTCTCTCTTTCTCTCTTTCTTTCTCTCTCTCTCTCTCTCTCTCTTTCTCTCTTTCTTTCTCTCTTTCTTTCTCTCTTTCCTTGCATCCCCAATGCCCAACACAGTGCCTGGACTAGGGTATCAAGATGGCATTTCTCAGAAATATGGAGGGCAGTGTGCCACTAAGGAGTGACTTCAGGGGAGTTTCCCAGCCCACTTCTATCAGCACCCGTAATCCTCCTTCTGCCCTAAAAAATTAACACACAATCTAAGTAAAAATGCAACTTCAAAATAAGGCCCTCTCACAATGAGATTGCCAGTCCTAAACCCTTCTTCAAAGGAATTCCACCATCAATGCTGCGGAAAATGCAATAGTACCTTACAGTTTTCAAAGAACTTTCATCATTTTTTTTCCATTTGATCCACTAATCCTCAGTAAGACAAATAGTTTTATCCTCATTTTTCAGATACTAAAAGTAAATAAAAGTGACATGTCCAAGATGAGAGCTGGTGATAGCTCTGAGCCTAACAACTTGAACTTACTGATCTGTCCACTCTCCCAAATTCCATGAGTGCTAGGCTCAGTATTGTGGAGGGCCGGGTTTCTTTTCCCCCTGGTAGACTTTTCCCCCATTATGAATGGTGGTATTAGATTGTGGCGCTATTATTCTAAAAATCCACTCCCAATAAAATCATTTAGGCAGACACCCATTATGAAAAGACAGTCAAATATGCCCACTGTCTTAGTATTACTGTATGATTTTGCCAAAAGTACTTATTGACTAAAGGATTTCCAGTGAATTACTGACTGAAAAAAATGGCCTGCCATGCATTTCTGCAAATAGAAATATATAATTTATTATCTTAAAATTCACTCATGAGGAAGTGCTATTATTTATAGGTTAAGTACAAGAGGGTTGATTTTCTCTTCTTTTATAATTCATCTTCCTAAACTATTAAATTTTGATTACTTACCATATTACCAGGCTCTTCCTTTAAACATGCTCTTAGTTTCTCTACACAATTCTGCATGATTTAACATTACTTCAATTCTCTTACGATTTATTGCATGTAACTCATCTAATATCAGTACACATCATTTTAGACATAAATAGGGCACTGCCTGCCCCCCCCCCCGAAAAATCTTGCTACTGTGTGGTAACTGAAAGTAAAGATTATTTTCAGACATATTAAGTTATTCAAATGAGTCACATTTAGCTTTTCTCAAATTAATTTTTTTCAACAAAGGCCTATAATAGTAAAGTACACAGAGTATGTCACACTTAAGATTTTCAAGTCTGATCTGGTTACGAATCTGCTAATTGTAAAAATTGCAATATGGCAGAGTGAAAAATATTTCACCCAACTACAAACAGAGATATCATGCAGAGAGCTGCAAGACATGAATCACTGCCCTGCTTGCTGCATCAAACTCAGAAATGCAGAGGCCACTCTGCAAGATTTCTTGCTCAGTTTTTAAAAGTTCAGGTGCATCACCTTTTAATCAGAGTAATAAACTATAATTGCTAATATACTGTGTCATGTTTACTGCTAACCCCACAATCTAGACAAACAGAAAATTATGCTGGCAGAGCCTGGAAACAATTGCAGTCCACTGTTATACACAACAACTCCTCTAGAGCTGTGGTCGGGAGTTACAGTGCTTTATGGTTTTAATTTCTTTAGAGTAAGGGTCTTTTCCCTGAGAAGCAAGTATTGAGAGAAAACAGTCTCCGGCATGACCTTCCTAACACAGACCTTGAACAAGCAAGCGACTGCAGGGCACAGGCTAGAAGACACTGGGCAGCTAGCTCCACTGAGTCCCTCACACTTTGCTTTCAAGAAAAAAAAAAAGAATGTTACTCTACACCTGCCTTTCCCCCCACCCCTCCTTAAAACTTAAATCACATTTACTCCTAGTGGTCTGAACAGCTGGAAGAAGGTATGACTCTAAATAGATGCCCAGAGAAAATAATCCCCCACCCGAGAGTGGAGCCTGGAGTCTGCCGGGAGGCGGCGAGGGGAAGGTGAGGACGGGCGGGGACTGGAAAGGTGGGTGCTCGGCCCCCACCTCCGCACCGCACTGCATTTCCTCCACCTCACGCAAATATCTCGTGCGGAGTGTGCCACCCTCGAGCTCCCCCCGGGCAGAGGTCCGTCCGTGCACCCTGGACGAGGCCCCTCAGCCCCTCCCCCGCCCGGGACCCTCCCCCCGCAGCGGGCAGCCGGAGCCCAGGTGTGTGCCGCGGCTCCGGGTGGCTGTCCCCAGGACGGCGTCGGGCAGGGGCAGCACCGCGGGGCCCCGGCCGATGGGGGCCCTTCCGAGTCACCTTTTGTCCAGGCAGGCGATCCACTCGGAGGAGGACGAAGAATGGGCAGCGTGCGCAGCGACCATGTTGGGCAGCGGCGCGGTGTCCCCGCTGCAGCGGCCTCCCGCGCTCACCCCACCTCCTCCCCGGACCGCTCCGCCCGCCCACCTGCCACCAGTGCGGCGCGACAGCCCGCGCAGGCCCGCCCGCGGTGGAGGGAGGGGACCTGAGGGGCGGGACGCGGGGACAGGGAGGGCCCAGGCCGCCCGCCCTGCGCTGCACTGCGGCGCCCGGGGTGGGGAGCCCGCGTCCCGCCCGCTGCGGGGAGGGCGCTGTGGTGACTGAGCCCGAACACCTGCGACAGGTGGCCACTGCGTCCCAGCGAACCCGGGCCCCACCTCTCACCTCGGGGCCTCTGAAACAGGAAGGGACGGGAAACGCCGAGCGTGGGGGGGCGGGGGTCAGCGCTTATAGATTTTCATACAGTAAATGCCACTAAAATGGCTGCTGCGTCTCCGTTTCCTTAGAAACCCATTAGTCTCCCTCAGCAGCTCATCAAAACTTGCTCACCTTTCTTTCCTGTTTCCCCTTTTAAGAGGATGGAAAGGGGGCTACCGTGGCTTGGGATGGGGACGCCCACAGTGGCCTCTGAGCGCGGGACGCAGGCGACAACTCCTCCTGCAGGGTGAGGCGGGGCTGGGATGGAGCGCGAGGCCGCACAGGCCTGGCTGGAAGCTGGGGGGGGAGGCCACTGGGCCGGGATGGTGACCAGTGGTGACGGAAGGGGTGGCACAGGGGTCTAGGACCTTGAGCCTTAGAGCAGCTTGGGCTTCCATCACCTGCATGAGGAAAAGAAACACAAACGAGTGGGGAGTGGTGGGGCCACAGCAGAACTGCGGTTTAAGTATTGGGGCCAAGATCCCAAGGCACGGGGCTTGTTGACTTGGATGGTTGGCCCCACCTGCCATTCTTTACGTGGCTGGAGTGTCGAGTGGTCTGTCCACCATCTGTCTGGTAGGAGCATCCAACAAACGCAATGTCTAGAAGTTATTTGGTTACACGCTGCCAAAAATCAAGTTATGCTTTGACAGTTGTTTAGGAATTTGGGGACAAGTTAAATCTTTTGGACTAGTACCAAGCCCTGTTCGATCATTATGGTGTTCATCTGAGGATAGACAATAGAAATAGAGACACAGTATTACTCTCCTCACTTTATTTTGGGTGTTTTGTGGGGCGGGCAGGGGGTGTTTTTGTTTTGTTTTCTCTCCTCCCCTCCCCTCACTGTTCTGCTTACAGGTTTAAGGAGGTTGGAGCGAATGAAACAGCAAGTGTGTTCTGGCATGCTTTTACCTAATAAAACTCCAAAGAATTTGCCATTTTCCCTCTGCTCCATTGCCAGGTTCTCGTTTCAGACCTGCCACCTTCCCTCAGCAACAAACACGTTTCTATTTCTCTCTCCCTCTCTCTTCCTCTCTATCTAAAATCAATAAAGGGAAAAAATTTACCCATAATTTCATCACCTAGAAATATCACTGCTACTATATTAGTGCATTTTATTCTAAATTTTCTATTTGAAAAAGATACAATCATGTATACAGCCATAAACACATACATATAACTACTTACATTCAATTATGTATAGTTTTGTATAAATACCTGTACAGCAGTCCCCTCTTATCCACAGTTTCTCTTTCTGCAGTTTCAGTTGTCCAGATCTTTCCTTTGTACATCATCCCTTTGTCCAGTGTATCCACAATGTATTCTCTCCCTGCCCATTAGTCTCTTAGTGGCCCTATTGGTTATCAGATCTACTGTTGCAGTATCACAGTGTTTGTGTTCAAGTGATGTTACTTAATAATGGCTCCAAAGCACAGAGTAGTGACGCAGATGCACGCAATTCAGATATGCCACGGAGAAGCCATAAAGTGCTTCCTTTAAGTGAAAAGGTGAAAGTTCTTGTCTTCATAAGAAAAAAAATTGTATGCTGAAGTTGGTAAGATCTATAGTAAGAATGAATCTTCTATCCATGAAATTGTGAAGAAGGAAAAAGAAATTCATGCTAGTTTTGCTGTCACACCTTAAAGTGCAAATACATCCCATCACATAGACATTTTATCATCTCATATATCACAAGAAGGGTGAGTCAAATACAGAAATATTTTGAGAGGTGGACCACATTCACATAACTTTTATTACAGTATGTTGTTATAATTGTTATTGTTAATCTCTTACTATGCCTAATTTATAAATTAAGCTTTATCATGGGTATGAATGTATAGGAAACAAATAGTTTTATATATATATATATATATATATATATATATAGTAGTTTTATATATATATATATATATATATATATATATATATATATATAGTTCAGTATTATCCATGGTTTCAGGCATCCACTGGCGATCTTGGAACTATTCCCCATGGATAAGGACTACTGTATTTATACAGACTTGAAAGCATTAATATTTTATAGGCTACTTTTCTACTTGGAATGTAAAAATTCTTTATATGTTTAAAAAGTCCTCATTAAATATTTTTACTGGCTACAAAATATAATGTATAGATATGACTTACTTAAAGTATCTTTTTATTGAGATATGATTCACATAGGACATTATATTCATTTCAGGTATACAACATAATGATTCGATATTTGTATATATAGTGAAATGATCAGCACAATAAGTCTAGTTAACATGCATCACCACATACAGTTATAATTTTTTTTCTTGTGCTGAGAACTTAGAAGATCTACCCTCTTAATGACTTTCAACTATACAATGTAGTAGCATTAACTATAATAAACTATTGTTTGAGGTCTATTTTTCTCACTGGCAAAAACATTTCTGTTTAATCCCCTTCCTCTAGTTTAGAGAATTGTCTCTGTGAGAGTGAAAGATCTCCACTGAAGATTTCCAATGAGATGAGGACAAGAAGTTACAAGACCCCTGTCTGTTAATATCAATTACTACTAATTGTAGAACCTTGAATGAGTTAGCTTCATGTCAGAGTTCCATGTTCTTCATCTGAACAGAGGCTCAAAATTAGGAATTTGGAGACAGTCAAGTTCAAGTTTCAGCTTCATCTTGTACTTTTTAACCTTAAATGGATTACATAGCCTAAGACTCCATTTCGTCATCAGCAAAGTGGAGAAATTAATGGCACAATACATGAATATGATGTTTATAGGACATTTAGCATAAGTGCCAGATATAGAATGTGTACTCAATAACTCTTAGCTACTGTTGTTCTTATTATTGTCTGTACAATGCAGATAAATAGTATCTGCCCTCTGCATTTCACAGGGACCTGGTAACAACAAGTGGAAATCCTTACACTAAATGGCCTTGGTGTTTGTAAACTGCACGTTTTGACTGTGTGGGATACAACAGATGGGTTTGCCTCCCTGAGAAACAATACATTTTTCCAAAGACTATTTGAGACTTAGTCTCAAAATCTTTTCTCTGTTTACTATATGTCTAGATCTGTCATCCTTCATATAAGAGCTACAAGTACATACCACTGGGTACTTATTCAATATGTCAAGCAGGATAGGGCCCTACATTTTTCCATCCCTGGGAATTCTGTTCCAGAATGAATTCTATCATTCACTCATATCTGTGTGTGGAGAGAACCAGATTCACCATGTTTTAGGTACCTCACTGGAAGGTGGGTTATAAAAGCACATCCAGCCCTGGCCCGTTTGGCTCAGCAGTTAGAGCATCAGCCTGCGGTCCAGAGAGACCCGGGTTCGGTTCCCATTAAGGGCGCGTACCTCGGTTGCAGTTTGTCCCTGGCCCTGGTTGGGTCGTGCGGGTGGCAAGCACTTGATGTGTCCTTTTCACATCGATGTTTCTCTCTCTCTCTCTCTCTCTCTCTCTCCCTCCCACTCTATCTGAACAAAAAAAAAAATGGAAAAATGTCCTCGGGTGAGGATGAAAAAAAATAAGTAAATAAATAAATAAAATAAAAGCACATCCATTGCCCCTGCTGATCATATAACCAATTCATTGACAAAACAGTACCCCAGAACTGAAATTATAAAGACAATTTTAATGTTTTGTTCTCACTGTTCCTTTAAACTTGCTCAGTGGGGATAATTCTAACCCTGGATATAGCTATTTTGGTCACCTGTAGGTAAATAGAAAACACTAGAGCCTTTCTATTTGAATGTCCAAACCAATATATTACCAAATCAATCTTTATTCAGAGATAAGAATTTTCTCCTCCTCCCCCATCTAGAGCTGAGCAGAGGAGGACTCCAGACCTTAGGAAAGAGGACGTGGTCAGCTTCTCTTTTCCTTGCTCGTCTCTACCCCTACTTAACACCTGATGGTTTTTAGCCTTCCAGGATCAGAGGAGTAGGGAACAAGGGAGAGAAATGGGAGGCGAGAAAGTTTCTTACTTGACTGAGACCGTTGTAAGCTAGTGCAATATTTTCCAGGCCTGGCAAGGTGTCAAGCCAGCTTCTGCTCCATGGGTGCTCTCAGGTGTTCTTGGGCAGCCTCTCTGCTGGCCATTCAGCACAGGCAAGTGCTGTTCTTTTGATTAACTGCTTCCCATTCAGACCTGGTTTTCCTGAGGTCCCCTCCAAACTGTCTCCCTATAGGAGACCCAGTTTATCCTCTACCCACACCTGTTGACAGCACCAGATGTTAGACCTTGGTCCTTGAGTTTTAGCTAAGAAAGATTTCAGAGCTAAGACTCAAATACAAGCAAAAGTTTATTTAGAAAGTCACAGAGGTAGAAGAAGTGAGCCAGTCGGACTGCAGGGGTTCAGGAAACAAGTTACAGAAGGGCCCTTGGAGCTTAGGAGAAAGGAAGACAAAGAATATGCAGCTGGGGAAAGGAGAGGGAAAAGGTAGAGTTGTGCTACAGAGAGGGGTGGAAGGCACATGAGCACATGCATGCTGGGTCCTTTGTCTGAAGGGCTTTTATCTGGTTTCCAAGGCTGGGATTTTAGGAGAGGTCTCAGAGGAGGATCTCAGTGGAATATTCATCAGCTTTCCAGGTGTATCCTTTCAGCGACATGGTCTCTACTAATTGGCAGTGGTGGGGTAGGGGTCATTGGTCATTGCAGCTGGTCCTGAGGTCACCCATGGCATGGCTTCCCCTGG